AGCTGCATCTAAAATGAATGTGTTTCATCAATCTACATGTATAAAAGTGAGATGAGACTCAAGGAAGGGAAAGCTGGATTCGGGCCGTCTAAAATGAGTTGAAGCCAGTTGAAATCATCGAAGTGAATTAAAATCATTTCAAAATAGAAAAATATATTCTTCAAAAGAAAACTAATATCAAGTTAACAAGGAAACTTGTTATTTGTTGATGGCACATTAGCCCGTCCTATAAATGTCTTACTAATGAAAAAAGCAAGATCAATTTTTCTAAGTTACTAAAGTGTGACTTTATAGGTGTCTACAATGCGATTGAGTAAAAATTTAATGAATGAAGCGTAACATTGACAGTTCAAGAAATTGAATTATCAATTGGCTAAGGTTAAAGGTTCTATAAGTGACCATGTACTATGTCAACAGACATCATCTCACATGGTCAGCTTTGAGCAGATAAACTATGAAACAAAGTTTATCATGATATGCATGCGTCTGTTATGGGTTGGTGAAAGTTAAGCACGGGAATGTTGAGCACGGAAAGATAAACACGGAAAGATGAGCACAGGAAAGATGAACACATAGAATGATCAGCAACTTGTACCCCAATGGAACTCATGATAATTGGCTTGTCAACATTGACTGGAGAATCGACGGGAAAGCGTGACAAACAATCGGCGACAGGATTACACTTCCCAGACACATGGACAATTTTCATCGTATAGCCTTGGAGATCCATTCCTCATTGATTTAATTTAACATTTTTTGAATATTTTTGTTGAAGCCAACATAACGGATGATGATCCTTTTGCACAGTAAATTCATTTCCGGACACGTACGGATCCCACAACTTGACAGCGTAACACTCACGCTAGATGGTGGATCAGTTCTGCTGTTGTACATTAAGTTTCCGTGACATGAAGGTGATTGGATGTGGTCCTTTTGACTTGTCTTTTACCTGCATTAATACTGCGCCAATCCCGACTTGTGACGCATCGGTAGTGACAATAAATGGCAGTTTGTGATCGGGATGATGGAGAACGGGAGCTTCGGTTAGCCGATTTTTGATTATTTCAAATGCATGCTTTTCTTGCGGCCCCCAACTAAATTTGTTTTTTGTCTTTTTCGAAAATTTGTAAAGCGGAGCTGCGATTGTGGAAAAATTTCGGATGTAATTCCGGTAGTAACCAGCTGTGTTTACAAATTTGATCACATCGTCGGCACTCTTTGGTTCCGGGATCTCGAGGATTGCTCGCACCTTATCGAATAACGGAGAAACACCGGAAGTAGCGATGGTATGGCCAAGGAAATCAATTCTGGTTTTAAATACTTCACATTTTTGCGTGTTTAAACGAAAATTCTCACGTGCCAGTGACATAACACACAAGTTCAACATGTTTGAGATGTTCAGTAAACGACCGCGAGTAAATGCGAATATCATCGAGATACGCGAGACAACATTGCCATCGGTGGGAACCAAGAACGTCGTCGACGATCCGTTGAAATGTTGGCGGTCCGTTTTTTAATCCTTGTGCGAGCACCTTCATTTGGAACAATCATTTTGAGGTTCGAAAAGCTGTTTTCGGGCGATCTTTTTCAGTAATGGGAACTTGATGGTAACCACTTTTCAAGTCGAATTTAGTGACATACGTACATCCCGAACACTGATCAAATATTTCGTCTTGTCAAGGTGGTCCATAATTATCTTTGATTGTCACGTCATTTCATTTTCGAAAATCAATACAAAAGTGGGGTGAGCCATCTTTTTCTTTTACTAAGACGATAGGTGACGATCATGCTGAATAAGATCGTTCCGCTCTGTCTTCTTGTAATAGTTGTTTCACCGTTTCATCAATAATTTCATTGTTTTTCGGATTTTGTCGATAATATGCTGCGGTGGCAGGACGACCACCTTCTTCCAGATCAATGACGTGTTTGATGATGGTATCAATAACGGATGATTGCAGTTGAAACTGAAGAAGATCAAAACCAAGAAACAAACAGGTCAAGGGCGCATTAGTTGCCTTCCCTGGTACTTAACATAAGATGCACACCCATAGCCACATGTTTGCTCTTAAATGATTGTTAGTTCGAAAACAATGAGAATATGTTGAGGATCTTGATGAAGTCCCGTTTCGAATCCTGTCGAGATCGTGAAATTCTGTGGCTACATAGCTCTTTCACGAATCAACAGTTGCCTGAGTAA